CAGGGTGCAGCAGATAAGGCACTGGTTTTAGACTCAGAAAACCTGGTCAGTTCTGCATTTGTAAATGCCTTTGTAAAATCCTTGGCAGGTCACTTTACCTTTGTATACCTCTGTTTTTTCCCTCACTATTTCTTTGTCTGCTTAGATTGTTAGCTCTTCAGGGCAGGAATGAGCCTATACTATGTTTGAATATTTTCTGTCGCCATCTGGTTCTGACAGGCACTACCATCATACAGACAATGAATAAAACTAGAATCTGTGGAAATTTGTTAAAAAACAACTAACTACACCTTTTCAAACCTCCATAAGAAAGACTAGTTTTCTTGTTTGGTTTGAAATTTTGAAGTGGCAGAGGTTTGCATTGGTGTGCTGCTTTATCTAACTCTTGATTTTTCCATCACTTTAAACATGAGAAATATAAAAAATGGGGGAGGGGAAGGTTTCAGATTCTGCCATTCTGACCTTGCACCTTACACATGAGTAACTGTACTGGCATATTTAGGGCTTTTGGCAAGAAGAAGGTGCTACCCAAATACGTAAAGCTGACAAAAAATTGTCTTTCTGTTACTGTGAAAATGTTGTGGCAGTCAGAGTGGCTACGTCTAGACTGCAAGCCTCTTTCGAAAGAGGCTTTTTTGAAATCTTCTTTCGAAAAAGAGCATCTAGACTGCAATCTCTTCTTTCGAAAAAGTGAGCCGCTTTTTTGAAAGAGAGCACCCAGGCAGTCTGGATGCTCTCTTTCGAAAAAGCCCTGTTTGCATTCAAGAACGCCTTTTTTCGAAATGAGGAGTACCACCGTCAAAAGAAAAGCCGCGTTCTTTCGATTTAATTTCGAAAGAACGCGGCTGTAGTCTAGCCGCAGGTGAAGTTTTTTCAAAAAAAGGCTACTTTTTTCGAAAAAAACCCTGCAGTCTAGACACAGCCAGTTTGATAAATCATTTGTTTCCTTTTTTGATCATATTGTGACTGTTTTGACAAACTATATATTTATATAATATAATTTTTAATTGAGGTTGAGTATGCTTTTTAACACACAAATTATTTTATTTTTACAGTTTGTCGGGAAGATTCATATCAATCCATAGTCTCCTGTGCTGCTGTAGTACTGACACCTAGAGAACTACCTGGGGAAGTAAAGAAAAAAGAAGAGCCAAAAATGCCTGAAGTGGCCAAACGGTGAGTGAATAAATTACTTATTTCTATTGCAATTTAAGCAGAAAAACCAAACTATGCCCTTAGATACACATGAGCAATTCCTTTCCACTTCACCCAAGATTTATGATTATATAGCTGAGGGCAGAAATTTGTTTAACAGTAAATACCTTCCTGTGGTTGTGGTAATGGCGTGGGTCTTCAGTGTGCGATAGGCAGTAGACATTCATATCCAAGGAAATAGATTTTAAAGAGTTTTAATACAGTTCTTTATTTCTGTAGAAATAATTCTTAATGCCTGCATACTCTTTCTATTCAGTAGTTGATAGTATAAAGACCGTTCATTCCTAAAAGCTTTGCTCTACTTTGATATTTCAGTTTTTTCAGTGACTGTTTTACTGCTTTGATGTAAGCTACGATGGCAGTTTTAGGAGCGTAGTAGTGGGCTTCCAAGTAAATCCTATTAAATTAAACAGACTGTAGTTTGATATCTTGCACCACTGCCTTGGATGAGAATCATAACCACAGCATGGTTAGCAACATTTATCTTGAAATACCAGGCAGGATGGTTGTTCCTTAACAATTGAGTTCTTGGCGAATGGCAAAGATACATTTTTCATAAAAAGAAGAAAATGCTTTCTACAGAGACTAAGCACTGAAGTTAAAATGTAGGTTATGCATTTTAAAATGCATGAGGTAATTTTAAAAATAACTTAGGATTCTATAGTATCAACCATCATTACTCAAGAAGAGATCTTTGGGCTGCATTTAAGTCCTTATCTTCAGTTCAGCTGGCAATAAAGAAACTTAATTTGGGATATTTATTATCAAAAATTCTATTTCCACAAAACCTTAGTCTGAACACTTGCAAATTTTGAAATATTAAGAGGTTAGAAATCAGGTCCTCAACCTAGAGTCAAATGCACTAAGTAAGGATCAAAGTTAGTAATACTGGTGGTGTTTCAATTGTATTTCAACTAGTAACAGATATGGCCCATCAGATCTGAAGCCTGTCTATCCCTATTCCTTCTACCCTATATAGGCAGTTTTAATTCAAGATCTGAAATCCATGGCTAGATCAGTATCCAACTGTAATATGTATTCCACTTTTCAGATAAGCCATTGGTATGAGGCTATCTACAATTTCATGATTAGCTACATCACAGACATTAGTTTTTCTGGGTTCACATTTAGTTCAATATTGAAAAATGTTTTTATATAGGGAGTAGTAGTATTTTAGGAACATGATTCTGCATCACATCCTTCTGTACCTCTCTGTGAATACAAAATATTTGAAGAAGGTTCTAACACTCAAAGTTTTAGACTGGGAGTCAGAATATTCAGGCTCAGATGTATATTTTTCTCCACTAAGAGGCAAACCTGCAATGTTCTTTGTTCTGCCTTCTCCACTATTAGCTTGATCTGCAGTTTCACCTTTTTAATCTCTTGTGGATTTCATCTAAGACAATTACTGTACATGCTCAAGGAGTGACTGGTGCTTTTTAGTTGACTTTTTCCTTCACTTAATTAGTAAGGCTAGCTTTTTCCCCTTTAAAAACACACTGATGATATTTTCAAAAGCACCCCTGGCAATCGTATGCATTTCTCATCTACACAGAGGTCTCAGTAACAAGCTCAGATCTCTCTGATACTATAGAGGTTTGCTACCCTAACCCTAACCCTAAGATGTGCCTTGCAGTCTCTTTTAAGCTCTATTTATCTTGTGTCCTGTGACTGCTGAAACATATTTAAAAGTATCCATATGAATCAAAAGCAAACACTTTATTAGTATATTTGTTATAGTCTATCTCCCAAAATACGTAGGGGGCAGAAGGGAAACACCCTCTCCGGAACTGCTGAGAGTGTCTTTGGTCAAGATCTATCTCCCAAAATACGTAGGGGGCAGAAGGGAAACGCACTCTCTGGAACTGCTGAGAGTGTCTTTGGTCAAAGTTTCAGGAAATTATCTTGAAACTTTCAAAACACTTTGTAGCCAATTACTCCATTTTATGATTAATTTATTGTCTGATGTTCTGAGTAACTAACGTCATGTCAGATAAAATTGTGTACTGAATAGATTTAAGTTCTAGCATTATAGAAATATTAATTGTGTACTGAATAGATTTAAGTTCTAGCATTTTAGAAATATTATATCGATTAATATTTAGACATAATTATCTATTAGTTATCTATGTAATAAGGGATTAATTGCAAAGTCTTCAAGCTGAAGCATGTAAAGTGTCAATTTAGTCTAACTGTTGCCATGTTATCCACATGCACACACACACAACCAATTTTATTCACACACACACACACACAACCAATTTTATTCACACACACACACACACACACAAAACCAATTTTATTCCCCCTCATCAATGTTTAATTTAAGGCTGTTTGTTAAACATATCGGGGGAATTATTGGATCATATTTGATTTGTACACAGCAGGAAAAATCCTGCCTGACTCGTAATTTAAGGCTGTTTGTTAAACATATCTGGGGAATTATTGAATCATATTTGATTTGTACACAGCAAGAAAAATCCTGCCTGACTCACTAAGAGCACATTTGTTAAGAATTTGGTGAGAAAGTGGCTGCAGGTGGGCACAGAATCTTAGGGCTTCTTGCTGGCAATAAGGAGTTATTGCTCAGAAAATTCTGGGGTGATGGCCTCAGCCTCACTGAGAAAAAACTAAAAAGAACAATATGCCCTGATCCCTAATACATGATACTAATCATAGTGCTACAGCACAGTTCTGAGGGCGTTAAGGCTTTCTGGCTATCTAACTATATTGCCTTAAGGCTGGGAAAGTGCCAAGAGTACACATTGCTCTCCTCCTGAGTAGTAGTATTTGGTAGGGGGTTAAGTTATAATGTCCTTAGCGTGAGGGCTATAACTTCTATATTCTATCCTCAGTGAAGCAAGGTATGAGCATTTAGTGAGTAGTAAAAAGCTAGTTTCTGTGAGTCCTTTCCCTTCCTTCTCCACTGTGCAATGTAGCAAAGGATTTTTTTCTCAGCCAAAGTTAATAATCTGTATGAAAGTAGGTGGCCCCAAACCCTCTCCTATGCGCCCTTCCCAAATTTGTAAACACATTTGATCTAGAACATAATATGGATCTGTTATTTAAATTTGTAGTCATAAAATATTAAAAACAAATATTCAGTGCAGGTGTTCAAGGCCTCTTTGTGTTGCTATGGTGATAGCTCAGCCGGCCTCTCTTGAAGGAGTACAGATGATAACACTTATTCTACAAATTTTTTTACCTGGGTGGAAAGTTCCAAAGATAGTCTTAATCCTTTAAAATCAAAATCAAGAAGATGCAGAGATAGAATTGTGATGTGAGGAATCCTTTTCACTGCAAGTGTCTAACAAAGCACGTGGGAGAGAAAGCTATACTGTAATATTACTATCGTGCTTTAAAAATAGCTTTTCTTTAAACATCTATGATCACACTATTAATTGAGAGTTCTTGCAATTGTACAATCTTAGGAGCTTACGGACAATGTTGTAAGAGAGACTCCTCAAGTGTACTGGGTCAGTATTCTGCTAGGAAATGTAAACAATCAGGAAATCCATTCATAAGATACCAATACATGAGAATGTGTCATAATATAGAAACAGAAGCCTTGAGTTGGCAAAGGATTGAGTATTTGAGTGGTTTCATTTAACTTCTATTTAAGCATTTGTTTCAGTACTTTGTTTAATTGGACCAAAGATGATCCTTCTATAAAGGATGACTTCTTTGGAAAAAATTATTGTACTAATATAGTTAAGAAAAAAACAGTAAACAAATTGAAGATCACATATAATGTAACTAACAAACTACAGTGAGGATGAAGACAACAAGGATTCATTTAGCTGAAAATTTACCAGTTACTAAATAAACAGACTCCTTCAGAAATGTTTAGGATAAAACCAAGAATTAAAATGCAGATTTGTTTGACTGTTAGTTGAATATTTGTGCCTTATTTAATACCTGTTTGTAATTAAAGGGAATTTGTGTGTTGTCCTGAATAAGAAGAGTTTGGAACAAAATGGCATATCAGTTTTATGGCCCTGTTTGTAATCAAATTGCTAAATTTGTATGAAGCAGTAACATGATAGCTTTGAATAACCTCATACGGGTTATTATTGGTTACTTGAGTTGATTCATGTCTTCAGTGCATTTTTACTCTGATACAGCAAGGGACTTACATATGCATAAAGTTAGATGTTTGTGTGTATTGCGACTAGGGTGCCTGCTTACCTATCTAAAGTTAAAAACGTAGAATCATAGGTTTGGAAGAGACTTCAGGAAGTCATTGGGTTCAACCCCATGCCCACAGCAGGACCATCCCTGCCAGGGCATTGTCAAGACAGGACTTAAAAATCTCTACGGACGGAGATTCCACTACTTCCTTACGTAGTCCATTTCAGTGTTTCACCACACTTCTAGTGAAATAGTTTTTCGAAATATCCAAACTTGACATTCTCCACTGCAAGTTGAGACCATTGCTCCTCGTTCTATCATCTGTCACTACTGAGAACAGCCTCTCTGCATCCTCTTTGGAGCCTTCCTTCAGGTGGTTGAAGGCTGCTATCAAATCCCCCTTCACTCTTCTCTTCTGTAGGTTAAGCCCATATCCTTCCGCTTCTCTTTGTAAGTTGAGTGCTCCAGCTCCCTAATATTTTTTATTATGTGTTATTCATTGCTCTTTAGTAGTGATGTGAACTTTGGTCTCCAATGCAGAAAGGGTCTCTGTCCATGGCATCCTGTTGAAAGACTTGCATCTGATTTTACAGTTCATCCTAAAAGACCCCTCTTTGAAACTTGAAAAGATGAATATTTTTATACTGTTTTGGACAATCTGATAAAAGATGGTTGAACTGTTTTTATTGCCTGTATAATTTCCATTATGTACCACAAAAGAATGTTTATCATCTCATAATTGCCTACTATTTCTGCAAAATGCACTGTCTTTAGAGGTTGTTGGGTTCCAAATCCAGTTCATAAACAGAACAGGACTCATAGAACTTCTC